CAAATTAGCACTTGATCCCTCCTCGCGCGAAGTTCACGAATCCATGTGCTTCTTAAGAACATGTGATTACTTTCTCTCCTCTACGCTACCCCTTCCCCCTCCTGTGTGCCCTCTATTCTATCCCTCCCCCATCCCTATGCCCTCCGTCCCACCCTCTCATCCTTCACACGCCGTGGCCACATTGGAGCAGGAACGTGCGGATCTACACGGGCGGACCTACACGGGCGGATCTACACGGGCGGACCTACACGGGCGGATCTACACGGGCAGATTTACAAGGGGGGATCTACACGGGCGGATCTACACGGGCGGATCTACACGGGCGGACCTACACGGGCGGATCTACACGGGCAGATTTACAAGGGGGGATCTACACGGGCGGATCTACACGGGTGGATTTACACGGGCGGATCTACACGGGCGGATCTACACGGGCGGAACTACACTTGGCGCACGTGACCAGCGACACGTGAGGCACGCGGGCGGAGCTTGACGGGCAGGGCACGTCTTGCACCTCCCGTCACGTCCTGGAGGGGTGGGTGCGACAATTTCTTCCGTCCTCGCTGTTGGGATGCTGGTGATATTGTGCCGTACGTCATGTCCTCCCATCCCTCCCCCCTGCCCCCCCCCCCTCTTTCCCCATACACCCCCCCTGCACTTTTCCACATCCTCTTTTTCCCGGCCTCTACCACCCTTCGCTCTCCACTCATACCTAGCTCAAGCTTTGAGCTCATCTTGTCTTGCTGGCCGTGACTAAGTTCTGACTAGATGCACACCTGATCCCTGCTCCTGCGTGGTTCACAGTTCTGTTTGCATTTTACTAATATGTGAACGCCTGCTCTCCTCCCTCCCTACCCCTTGCCCCTCCAGTGTGCCCTCTATTCTATCCCTTCCCCATCCCTATGCCCTCCGTCCCACCCTCTCATCCTTCACATGCCGTGGCCATATTGACGCAGGCTCAAGTTGGACTTCGGAGGCCTGTTGGACGCGCACCCTGGGCCGGTAACAGGCAGACCGACACGGGCAACTAACGGGTCGGGCGACTCCGGCACACGGGCAGGGCGACACGGGCAGAGTGACTGGTGGCTCATGGGGATCGCAACACGGGCAGAGCCACAGGCACAACTGGACAGCCGGACATAGCGTTACATTAAAGTTACGCGGATCCAGCAGGTGGGTGGCACTCTTCCTCCTTCTGTTGCGCCAGAGGCCCTTACAAGCATGGTCCCCGGAACCCTCCCCCCTCTCTCAGCTCCCTATTCACTAACACACCACACTGAACCCCCCCATCTCCTTCATTCTGACAAGCTCCATACGTTTTTTCGTCTCTTTTCATTGGCAGTTGGATGCTCTTGTCATGTTTTCTCCCCCCTCTCCCCCACTTGCTCGCGTACGCCCCACTTCCGCCCACCCTCCTACCCCCCATACCACCCTATACCTACCCTCTCTCCACTCAACCCCTAGGTTCGATCTTGTTGAGTCTCCTTATTCCTTGCTCGCGCTACATCCCCTCTCACACCATCACGCGGTTAATCCCTTCACCCCACCTCTCTACTCCATCCCCTCATACACACCATCATCATTCGCATGCCACTGCCACACCGTCGCAGGGACTGTCTTGACGCGCGAGGCACACTCCGTATGGGAAGTGATTCGCAGGATTTGACACTGTAAGTGTACGGCCTAGCGTGTATCATGGTTCGTTCATACCCTAATGCACCATCTGTGCCGTACATGTGCTAGTATCATGTTATCCTAGACACAAGGATGATGCAGGTTCCCAAGTGTGGTCGAGCTACACATCCCCCACTAACCTCATTATTGTCTCTTTGCAGGGAGGCGGTCACAGACGCTGAGGAGGACGAGGACTCGAGATTGGTTCGGTTTGATTGGTGGCAGTCTACAAGGCTACAGATTGTCTTCAGGGTTCCTCTTGAGTCCTACGTCTACGGCGTTCGTCATCATTGGCCGCTGTATCTGACGCTGGGGAATGTGCACATGCATATACAGCCTTTGGGGGTGTGGCGGTCGGTTCGGCAAGCACTTCTAAGACACTTAAATGTAATGTTGGTTGGTTTGTAATTATGGTAACATTTGACTTCGTGACAGTTCGAAACAGGAATGTCATCAACAGTATTTGTGATATGCAGGGCACACGCAGGATCCAGAATCCATCACTCTTTGATACTGTTGAGAGGCTCACTCCGCGCCACAGAGATCTACTGGACGAGCTTCGTAACCTATATATAGTGAGTAACGCATTATGTTTGGCATAGACTTGAATTAGGACTATGGTAAAAAAGTAATAACATTCGTTGTGGCTTGTTTCCTACGTGTGCTGATGCAGGCTGTGGATCCTCCCAATGGATATTTTTATATGTAAACACTGTGGTCTTAAGTACGACTCTGAGCATGCATTAGTGAGCCATGAGCGCACGAATCTGAAGTGTCTAGAGATTCAGCACCACAATGCGTTTAGCACTCCAAGTCGTAGCTGTTTAGTACCCCCTCTAGAGCCTGTCGACCTAACAGCGCCCTTCCCTTTTATTTTTGGTGCCCAAGCTCCAGTGCCTGAGAGACATGCGTCGGATTACATCCTAGATTTTGACGAGGATGTGTATTATGAAACAGAGGTGGAGTTTGGAGAGGAGGATGAGGAACGTAGGCTGTTTGACACGCGTGAGGAGACTTTTAGATTTTTGCAGCAGTGTAATAAGGGGACTGGTTTGAGTGGTCCAGACACTAGTTATTTTTTCAGGCTGGTAAAGGATCCTGATTTTGACCCGAAGCAGCTCATAGAATGGTCAACCAAGGCAGCAGTTGATAAGTATGGCATGCAGAAGCTAGGTATTGATAAGTTGCAGTTTAAGACTGTCGAGGTTAGGGTGCGAGGATGGCCGACTCCTTTCTTTGTGAAGCATGTGGACGTCAAAGCGGTAAGTGTTTTATCAGGGGCATTATGCTTGTTCTGTGCCATTCTTGCTTTCTAACTTGGGCCTATGATCGGATAATTTCAGGCGTTGGAACGGATGTGGGAGGACACTCGCAATGCCCCGGGTTTTATTCATCGGGCGGTGGTGAAGAGGGTAAATGGACGACGAGTATACGAGGGTGCGCACCATGGCGATTTTTGGTTGGGTGCTCAGGTACGGTATGGCTTAGAGCTATGGTGATTGGCAAGCTCCAATCCACAATGCAGCTTCAAGGTTCTAAGACTGGTTTTTGGTTGGGCTTGCTAGAGTTGTTAAATCAGGTATCTCCTGGTACATTTGTTTGACGCTTTGAACGCCGATTTGTGCGTTGTATCTTATCACTGATTCATCTACATTGTGATTTGGAATGAGTTGATTGCACGCCTGTTCATGCTTATATTGTGATTGACCTTTTCATAACCCTACTACCGTTTTGTCAACTTGGTTGTGTTGGAATTTTACTGTCATGTGATGTCACCCATCTAACAGCAAGGACTCGAGGGGTACGAGTGTGTCTGCCCGCTCATACTATCAAGTGATGAGACGACTTTGAGCGGCAACGAGCGGTGTCGTGCGTGGCCAGTATATCTCACGTTCGCCAACCTGCCGGTCGAGATGAGGTGGACAGAGCATGGACGCGCACTCATCGCCCTGCTGCCGCAACCTGACTCTGAGATGGAGGCATGGCAGAAGGTCGAACTCTTCCAGAAGAGTTGTGCTGTGGTGTTTGAGGCACTGAGTGGATTGTGCAAGACGTAAGTAGGACGTTTTGATCCATTACTTGAAGCTGAATTGTTAGATAGGCGTGGCTTGTTCGTGCAGCACCAGTATATGTATGTAAGTTTTCTTCTAATTCATTCTACAATGCCTACACCTTTCCAGCTCTCTTCCTTTGACAGACCCGAAGGGCGACGTATTCACCGTGTGGCCCAAACTGTTCCAGTACGTTGCGGACTATCCTGAGACGTGCAAGGTGACTTGTACGATGCAACATAACTCGGCTCGTCCGTGTTCGATCTGCTGCGTGGATAAGGCAAATCTTGACAACATGGATCCCGCCACCATCAAGTACCGGACGGTTGAGGACCAGAAGAAGTACGCACAGGACCCAAAGCTTGCCAAGGAGTATTCAACCGTGATGATGGACGTGAGTATGGATCTGACGGTTGGATATATGGACATTGGTGGTACTGTTATTATGTGACTCTTTCACCTCGTCAGCAAGCATGAACTCGAGTATCTGTCAGGTCATTGTTTATCGTTGTTGTGAAGCACAATCTTGTACGTCGTTTACGTGTTACGCGGTAGTTTGTGTTCTACCTGGTTTCATGTTGATTTATGCATGTTTTGTCACCCCATCCACGTTTCTCCTTTTATCTTATGATACAGACATTCTTGTGGCACTTTGGGAAGCAGGAGGATGCTAAGGCCAACTGGGGGAATCCTTACCAAGTGATCTCGCCCGACGTTTTGCACGTCATACTCATCGGATTGTGGGTCTACATTCTCGAGGTGCTGGTGTACAAGAATAAAAATGTGAAGACCATGAACGAGTAAGGGTTAGAGTTATGTAGCTGCTGTAAGTCTCAATATACTTGCGCGTGCGTTCATATAGCCGTGTTTCATGCAATGTAATATGCAGGAGACATCGTGATCTGTATCGGGAGGCGAGATCGGCTGGGATAAGAATCCCTCCTCCTGGTCGATACTTCAGCCTTGGTGCCAACTATTCTGCTTCGGACCATGCTGCAATGTTGCGAGTACGTTGTAGTATAGTACTGTTGGATGTTTCTCTTGCGTTCCATCACCTACCTGCGGCCATTGTATCTCTCGTAGAACAAACAAGTATGTATGGACAAGTTCGAGCACCCATTTAAAATGATGTCTACTGTCATTCCCCCCCTACTGGCGATGCAGGTCGTCGTGTTCATCATGGAAGGATTGGTGGGGAGCGTCGCACTCGCCATTTTGCGCTATTTTGTCAGCTGGTTTGACAAGTACTTCAGGGCGACATCGTTTACGGAGAGGATGCTGGAGGAGTACCTGACAGACACGGCAGAGTAAGTAGATTTCTAGTTGCGCAACACGTGTGAATGGGTGTCCTTTTACTTGCTTACAACCGAACTGTGAGTTATCTTGATTCGGTCTTTTCGTTTACTTGGCACAGGCTTATTCGCATGCTGAAGGGCAACCTTCCCCGTGGAGGTAATGGGTGGAAGCTGGTGAAGGTCCATCTTCTGCTGCACTTTCCAGACGCGATCAGACGTGGCGGACTGCCCCGCGAGTTTTGCACCAGTCTTTTTGAGCATGCGCACACTGCTACGTGCAAGAGGCCGTTCAGAGCGTCCAACTTCAGGCAGTATGATGCGGCGATTCTGAGGAGTGTTGTCATGCAGAACGCACTGTCTCTGTTGCCGACGGCATTGGCGCAACGCAGCATTTATGAGACTGCACTCATGAAGGTAATTTGCTACGCCTCGATGATCACCTTTCTTACTGGTGGACCTGCACTATGTTGTTTGACGTTCTTTTATCACCAACGCAGGCCATTGCTCACAAGAAGCAGGTTTTGACGACGCGCAGCGAAACAATGGTGCTTCCTTGCGCTGAGACACGTGCTGCGGGAAATGCCCTATGGGACTCGTTCGTGCAGTACCATGGTGCGGGAATGCGCTGTTTCCCCGACGTGCTGAGGCATGCCAACCTCCCTTCTGGGAGAGTAGAGGTAACAGACTATGAGATGGTGCTCGGTGTGTGCCTTAAACATGCACACGCAAGTATGTTTTTTGCTCTATGCGTTGTCAGAATGTTGACACTATAACTGTTTGAACCCCCCTCACACAAACAGGTCCATACAACTTTGGCATTGCCACCGGGCGAAGATTTCGAGGCACACTACGCTCGAGCGGCCCTTAGTTATCATGGCGTGCCCTGTTTTTCGTACGTTGCCATCGTGGGTCACGAGGATGCTGCACTAGGGGCTGAAATCATCACCACATGGTACGCGCAACTCATGTTGCTTTTCCACGTCAGCATGTTGGAGGAGGGTCGGTTGGTGAGGAAGCCATACGCTTTTGTGCGTTACTATGAGGTCGGTGAACGTGACCAGCTCACAACGTGCACGTTGTTGCACGAGTCACAACGCGAGGTCCGCTTCCTCATTGTGGAAGCACACTCCATCCTGAGAACCCTGCATGTTGTGCGGTCTTTCGACCGGCGTTCTATTTCCTTCATTAATAGGTTTGGTAGCAAGGACTTTTAGCTCCCTACTTGTTGTAGGTTTTGTAAATACACTCTGCGGGTGAAATGATGTTGTCTTATGAAACGGGGAGACATTGTTGTTTCCGGCAACGCTGGTCATAATTGTTGTCACAACACGAGGGCTGTACTGATGATAGTCAATAACATGTCTCGCTACATAGATCTGGATCCCATCAAGTAACGAAAACAGGTTAGGCTTTGGATCCATAGCATGAGTACCGTAGGAACGGGGGTTTTATGGTAGAATGAGTGTAATGAGGATGTTGCCAAAGCATAGGGGGGGCTTCATTACAGAATGGACACCTTGTAGCAGTAGAGTAACATGCAATGAGTGATGCACCACCAAGCTGGACTTCTACGTAATTACACTAGCGATACAACAACGTGCACCTATGCTGGATTATTTGTGAGTCATGTTCTGATAAAACCTTTCTCCTTGTATGTCTTTCGCCATTTGATATTGCACCACCCTGGATATCCAATAATCCTTTCTGCAACACAACACAATGTGTGAGTTAGGAACTCTCGTACAGCAATTGTTGATGCCCGCAAGATCAGAACGAGGGTGATGCCCTAGACTAATGGCTAGTCGAACAGGCGATTGGCACTAGCCAAATTCGTCGAGGCTTTTGAAGCACTGTACCATGCACCATACAACCCTTAACTTGCAAGCAGACATCTGCACACAGCATACATTTACTTAAAATGCCGTTCGACGGAGGTCTCTCAGTGGGCCACCCACGACCATCATCGCTTCGAGACAATAGGAGCTCGAGGGCAACACCGTGATGAAAACTATGGTAACCTGCTGCTAGGCGCGCTCGGACGACCGCGACGAGTACTCAACCCAACAGCGACAGTTGGGTTTCTTATGGCGTTGAGTATTGCCATGTAGGGGACGAACCCGCGCACGTAGAACTCAGAATTGCATCAAAATTTGGTGCGTTGGTTAGTCGGAAGGGCTAAACCATGCGTGCTAATGTTCCGTTGCAATTTCAGAGCGCTGCACTAGGGCCGTCCGGTGGGTAGACGCGTATCTGGTGGTAAACTCCTCGTTTAACAATTTTCGTGAGGCTACACGGGCTGGCCGCAGTCGCTCTACTTGTTCGTAGGATCACACGATGGGGTGACGCGGTTTGATGTGCAACTCTTCTTATTGCATGCCTTGATTTAGGGTATGCACACTCCCCCATCTTCTCCCGTTGTGAGTAATGCCAGTGACGCAAATGGTGACGAGCGCAGCCGACTAAAATGTTTCCTAAGAGACTAATCCAGCTGAGTCCATGGTATGTCTACATCGTGTTGGCCTAGTCGAAACTGCTGCTGTACTGTCGGATATGCCCTCAGCGGGACTTTTAATATATGTTAGGGTGGTCGCGGGGGCTGCGCTCTTGTCGCCCGGTCGGCCGGGAAGGTCCCACGGTTTGGCTTACGTACCGCTGCGCACCGTCTCTGTCCATCACGTTTGGTTTTTATACTGTATCGTCATCCCGAATGTCAACCGCGTACAATCGTTACTTGCCACTATGTCGTGCTTCATCGTGATCGCATTGACATGCACAGACCCTAGACTCATGCGAGGCCTAGCGAGGGTTGGCGAAGTCGCTACCGTTCGAGTTAAAGTTGCAGTCACCCATCATACAGGCAAGCCCCGGACTGCCGAGATTATGCCAATCACGGCCGAGTGAAATGTCGGTCCCGTCGAGGGTCGTAGCTATCATTTCCGTGCTAAATATGATGGTATCATTGCGTCGTATCCGTACTCGGTGCTCGCGTTCCCATATCGCCAGTGACATGCCGCCAACTAGACTTGCCCATAAACCCTGATAAACACACGTACAGAGGCAATTCGAGTCTCCGAGCAGTGGCAACCCCCATTTCGCAGAAGCTGGCTTATGCGTCTATGACGATACCTACTAAATCCGTCCCTAGTTTTTCTACAAGGCAGGCTTTGGCTTTCTCACGTTAGTAAAAGGTAAAAAAACCAAAACAACATATTAATGAATTATAACACAATATCTTAGGCACCCCCCTTAATCGGCCTACCCAAGTCGATTGCGTGAACCTGCACAATCTATTGGTGAGGGTCGGTTGGGTGTGGCGCGCCTCGTGACATGGTAGTAGCAGGACTGCGCGCAATGTGGCTCACGTGCGATATTTGGTAGAGACAACGGCGTAAAGGGTCGTGGTTGTCCGTCCCTTGTCAGTTGAGTCGCGTGGTCCGCTTGCTGCGTGTCAATGACGCGCCAACCTTATGTGGCTTGTCCTGGCACCGGCGAAACAACAGACCAAATATTCGCCGAGTCCACCGATCCCTAGTTGGCGCAGTAGAACACGTCCAGTACGAATAAGCACGCCTGCACATGGGAGTGCAGGCTCGCTGGTCCGCAAACAAACGTGACACGATGTTGTCTTATGGCGTATTTGTGGCGCGTAGTGGTTGTCGTTACCGACGTTGCGTTCGGCTCTTTCTGCTGCCGTGCTCGAGCTTTGGCCCAAGCTTCCATGTTGTGATGCCTGTCGTGCGGGTGACTTCCATGTATGCCTGTGAGTGCACTTGTTGGGCGCGTGCGACTTCGTTTTGCAGTGACGTTCGATCTGTCATTCGTGCCGCAATTACGTCGGAGAGTTCGTGCAACTGCTGCAGCAGTTGGCTGAAGAGCTCTAGCGCATGAACGTTGTGACGTCAACATGCTCGGCTATTCCGAAGCACCGCTTCGGAACCGCTAAGTCCTAGGTTTTGTCTTCTACGAACGCATTTGAGGGAACTTATTTGCACCAGCAAACGGTACCGCAGTGCGTGCGAGCTAGTTGGTGCTAGGCTTGTATCGAGGTTAGTACCAGTCCCGACGCGTAGGCAGACTCGGCAGGGCCAGCGGTGCATGGTATGGTCAGTGAGTGCACACAACGTTGGTGAAGCCCCTTTCCCGTTAGCGCGACAGAAGGAAATCTCTGTGGGGAAGAGTGGGGAATAGCTGCGGGGAATAGTGGAAATAGCTGCAGGAGGGGAGGAAATAGCTGTGAGACGGGTGGAAATAGCTGCGAGGGCAGCGAGCGAGTGGGGATGGAAGATACCGAGGGCGACGTGACGAGGCGAACGTGATGCGCGAATGCCAAGGGATGGATTAGCGACTGCGAAGGGATGGGAGGGAGGGTCGCGAGGGCGAGAGTGAGACATGACGGAGGTCGACGTAGAGCCACTCGATGCGAGCTTGATGGGGACAAGGTGGGTAATGGCCGGAGACGAGGATGAGTGACGGGAGGGTGACTTAGCGAGGGCGACCAACAACGAGAGGTCTTAGGACGATAGAGAAACGCAGGGCGAAGGTGACGCAGAAAGTTACACAGCGGGGGGTGAGCGAGAAGGGCCTGACCGCGTGCGGAATGGAATAAAATTACGATTATACGCTACGTAACAGTCTAAACGCCTACCTGCAGGGTCGATAGGGACTTAAATTGGCCACAAATACCTGCATGAAACCATGTTCCATCTTGAAACAAACATTGCGCTGGCGATGGAAACCATCGCCAGCAAGAGTCGTGCAGGTGCAGCACGTAGGCATGCAACGGAGGAGATCCGTGCGAAAAAAAAAAAAAAAAAAATTTGGCGAGAACATAAAGAATCAAGTTTACCCTAGGCAAATAGCATTAGTTTAGAGTGCTACTCAATATGGAATATGTTTCACTAGGTTACTTTACGGTATTAAATTAAATAGTAAAAATATACGGTGAAAAATCCCACATTCAAAACAAAATGTAAGTATACCGACTGAAAGACCAAACCTATACAAATCTTGAGGTGTGCTCAATGCAATGCTTTATATTTATTGATATGCATACATAAAATTATCACTATAAATTACAAACCAGTCAAAACAACTAGACAACCTAATAAAGAACGGGAGCCCTGCCTGTCTGAAACAAGGCGTTAGCGTCCAGGCCTGAGGCGAGCCGAAAAAAACAAACGCCTCTGATAGGCTGACACAGCTCGACAAATCGGAGTCGTTCGACCAACAACAGGTGAGGAAACGAACCAGCTGAAAAGCTGCGTGAAAGTTGCGTCGTTCAAAAAACCTACCTCAGAGCTGCGTGAAGCATGCCTCGAAACCAGGGGGAGTGAAAGGTGACTTTTCGAAACCTACTGAATCCACCGCCTCATTTTTGGGATGGAGGGTTGCAGACGGGTGGCAGGGGATCGACATGGGTTATGGTCGGTTAACCAGATTGAGTCCAACTGCATAACCACCGTAAACTCCCCCCTTAATTCACACACATGACGGGTGTCACATCGTGTGAGCCACAGGTCCTACTGCCTTCCCTCCTTGACCCTGAAATCACCATCCCCCACTCCCTCATAATCCTTACCCCCCTGCCCTTATTATCAGCAACGTGCTGTCAAGGGATCTACTCATAAACATGTGTGTGTATGGTATCTACTCAAGGGATCTGCGCGAACGGCATTGGCATAGCGCGAAGAGCCCCTAATGCCTGCGTCGCCTTTTCATCGCTCCCACGTCGACGCGATCCGCGCCGCGAACGAAATTGGTGGAAATTTTACGCCGCGGCTTACCGCAGATCGACGTGGGCCTTCCCGACTCGCTACTACCCATCTCGCAGTCATCCCAAAAATTTGCAGATTCAACACCTACGTTGAAACGCGCAACATTTTCGCAGGTTCAAAAACACCTGCCTCTTGGCTCCTGAAAGAGCTACTGAATGTCAGGTTGAGTTGAAAGTTAGCTCTCGAACGTCAACCTGCGTTGTAGTTGCTGTGCCGTAGGTTTCAGATGCTGGGGTAGGAGATGTCGATTGGTTGACGAGTGTGTTTATTTTGTTTTTATTTGCTCTGCAGATCGACGCGACATCGTAGCTCGGTTGCTGATTGACTGGATGCAGCTATGCGAAATGGGCCATTTTTAACGGCATTCAACTTATGCCAGCGCGATTATGCAGATGCATACAATAGACGGCCGTTGGGGAAAGAGGCTGACAGACTGTTAT